GTTGATCTATGATGGTTCCAGTTTTCAGCTGGATGTTGCTGCAGCACTTGTCCCATTTAGGCCTGATCTAGGACCATGTGCAATGGGAATATAGACATAAACTTTACCCAGCCTGGACCAGGATTTATATAGCGCCACCAGTTTGCGCAGCACTTTACAACATGAAGGCAGACATTACAGTTACAATACACTTTGATACAAGAGGAAACAGTGGGCACTGCTCGTTAGAGCTTACAGTATACTTCTCCTTTATGTTCCCACCACAACAGTCCGTTCTTGGGGGGATGGGTTTTCTAATCCCTAATCAACCCAAAAATTAAAAACAAAAAAGGTTTGGCTAGAGATACATTTTAACATACCGGCAACCAAGAAAAATTGAAATGTTAGCTTTGGATTGACTAACCTTTTAAGAATATCACTGATGAACACGTATATAAAAGTTGAATCAAGAAAGAGTGTCAGATGAAAAGAAGCAAGAGATGAAAAGATAATTATACAAAATTTACCAACCTTTTTGATCAAAACTTGGCAGATGGCACTAATCTGGTTTGACAGTTTTTTCTTTATATAGTTTTATTAAAATTCATACAGTACATTTGTCAAAAGATAAAAAACCTGGTCACTCAACTACACCACCACTCTTTAGAATGTTTGAGGTACAGTCAGGTCCATAAATATTGGGACATCGACACAATTCTAACATTTTTGGCTCTATACACCCACCACAATGGATTTGAAATGAAACGAACAAGATGTGCTTTAACTGCAGACTGTCAGCTTTAATTTGAGGGTATTTACATCCAAATCAGGTGAACGGTGTAGAAATTACAACAGTTTGCATATGTGCCTCCCACTTGTTAGGGGACCAAAAGTAATGGGACAATTGGCTTCTCAGCTGTTCCATGGCCAGGTGTGTGTTATTCCCTCATTATCCCAATTACAATGAGCAGATAAAAGGTTCAGAGTTCATTTCAAGTGTGCTATTTGCATTTGGAATCTGTTGCTGTCAACTCTCAAGATGAGATCCAAAGAGCTATCACTATCAGTGAAGCAAGCCGTCATTAGGCTGAAAAAACAAAACAAACCCATCAGAGAGATAGCAAAAACATCAGGCGCCGCCAAAACAACTGTTTGGAACATTCTTAAAAAGAAGGAACGCACCGGTGAGCTCAGAAACACCAAAAGAATCGGAAGACCACGGAAAACAACTGTGGTGGATGACTGAAGAATTCTTTCCCTGGTGAAGAAAACACTCTTCACAACAGTTGGCCAGATCAAGAACACTCTCCAGGAGGTAGGTGTATGTGTGTCAAAGTCAACAATCAAGAGAAGACTTCACCAGAGTGAATACAGAGGGTTCACCACAAGATGTAAACCATTGGTGAGTCTCAAAAACAGGAAGGCCAGATTAGAGTTTGCCAAATGACATCTAAAAAAGCCTTCACAGTTCTGGAACAACATCCTATGGACAGATGAGACCAAGATCAACTTGTACCAGAGTGATGGGAAGAGAAGAGTATGGAGAAGGAAAGGAACTGCTCATGATCCTAAGCATACCACCTCATCAGTGAAGCATGGTGGTGGTAGTGTCATGGCGTGGGCATGTATGGCTGCCAATGGAACTGGTTCTCTTGTATTTATTGATAGGTGACTGCTGACAAAAGCAGCAGGATGAATTCTGAAGTGTTTCAGGGCAATATTATCTGCTCATATTCAGCCTAATGCTTCAGAACTCATTGGACGCCGCTTCACAGTGCAGATGGACAATGACCCAAAGCATACTGCAAAAGCAACCAAGGAGTTTTTTAAGGGAAAGAAGTGGAATGTTATGCAATGGCCAAGTCAATCACCTGACCTGAATCCGATTGAGCATGCATTTCACTTGCTGAAGACAAAACTGAAGGGAAAATGCCCCAAGAACAAGCAGGAACTGAAGACAGTTGCAGTAGAGGCCTGGCAGAGCATCACCAGGGATGAAACCCAGTGTCTGGTGATGTCTATGCGTTCCAGACTTCAGGCTGTAATTGACTGCAAAGGATTTGCAACCAAGTATTAAAAAGTGAAAGTTTGATTTATGATTATTATTCTGTCCCATTACTTTTGGTTCCTTAACAAGTGGGAAGCACATATGCAAACTGTTGTAATTCCTACACCGTTCACCTGATTTGGAGGTAAATACCCTCAAATTAAAGCTAACAGTCTGCAGTTAAAGCACATCTTGTTCGTTTCATTTCAAATCCATTGTGGTGGTGTATAGAGCCAAAAATGTTAGAATTGTGTCGATGTCCCAATATTTATGGACCTGACTATCTGCTGGTACCCACAATTATCTACTTGAAGACCAAACATTTTGTTTACAAAATTTTAAATCAGTATTTTTTGCTATAAAATTACTTATAACCCCCAAACATTATATCATTTTTTTCAAGGAAAAAAACTCTAGAGAATGAAATGGCGATCATTGCAATTTTTTTATCACATGGTATTTGCTCAGCGGGTTTTCAAACGCAAAATTTTGGGGGAAAAAAAAAAAAAAACACTTTAATGGAAAAAAAACAAAACAATATATACCCAATTGTTTTTGTAAGAATGTACATCATAGTAGCAAGAACAAATGAACGAAAGATGATGTTACGGCGAGTAAATAGATACCTAACATATCACGCTTTAAAACTGCACACGCTTGTGGAATGGTGACAAACTACGACTCTTAATCTCCATAGGCAATGCTTTAAAAATGGAAACAAAACTACGGTACTTAATCTCCATAGGCGATGCTTTAAACATTTTTTACAGGTTACCAGTTTAGAGTTACAGAGGAAGTCTAGCACTAGAATTATTGCTCTCACGGCGATACCTCACGTGTGCTATGAACACCGTTTACATAAGCATGCATGACTTGCGTATGCATTCACTTCTGCACGCAAGCACGGAGGGATGGGAGCACTTTAAATTTTTTTTTGCTGACATTGCCCTTTATTTTATTTTTTTTTAAATCACTTTTATTCCTATTACAAGCAAAGCAAACATTCCTTGTAATAGAAATAAGGATGACATGTCCTCTTTAAAGGAGTGATCTGGGGTCAAAAAGACCCCAGATTTCTCCTTTACCTTTAAAAGCAAAAGATGAAAAAAAAAAAAAATACATTTTAAACTTTATCTTATTTACATCCACCCCGGACCGGAAGGGTCATCATGACATTGCTCCAGTCCTCCAAGGTCATAGAGGTGATAGAGCACAGCAGCGAGCTCCGAGCTATAAAACCTCCCTGAGCTGGGTGCCAGGCAGTCTGAGAAACTGTGCAATCTGGCACCTCGTAAAAGAATAACCCAAGCCTTCCCCTGAGTTCAAAGACATTCCAGGGGAGTCAAACTAGATACCACTTTTAAAATCCATTTTGCCCCCTAAGTCTCATATCTTGGAATATGAGAGACTTACATAAAAAACCAGGCATATCTTCAGATTGCTCACGATCAGACAAATCGTTTGATATATCACACTCTCTGGCTCGAATATATAGGAAAGAAGAAAATTACATCTCTTGAACCATTCAAGTATGTATTTCATATCTCATATCTAACCGTTCCTCAGATGCATCTGCATAATAATCTACCCGCGGGTGGAATGTTACTTGTGCCTAGGAAATGAGTTATGAGCCAAAATATGAGCTATGAGAGATTTTGGTTCTAGTTTGGGTCTCCGCCTAGACACCCCTTCCCAACCTCTCTAAACTTTTCTGTTACCTCTTTGCTGTGTTATTGCTCTCTGTGTATTTATATATATATATATATATATATATATATATATATATATATATATATATATATATATATATATATATATATATATATATATATATAATTGGTTACATCTTTTTTCTGTAAATATTTTTATTGCACCCTTTTGACCTTTTAGTAATAAATCTTTTTTTTATTTTTACGCCATTTTTTGGTTTTCTGTTATTTTGAAAGTGTAAATGATGGAAATAAAATCTAACTTTTGTTGACATATTATAAGAATGTCTAATCTGTAATTTGATGCCTTTTGGAGATTTTTCCATCTTTCCTTGGCTTCTTTATGCACATTAATACAAATTTTTAGCTGGGGTGCCCAAACTTTCGATCCCCACTGTAGATTTTCCACAAGAATCTGGATTCCCTGCATGCTTTTAAGAATCCCCTCTGCAATTGACTTTCCATTTCTAAAGGACTATATATTCCATGGTACACTGCTGCTTGCAAGCACAGACTCATATAGTGACTCTACTTCCTAAAACTGCTCCCCTCAGCACCTCTGTAGTACATACGGCAGGCTCTGTAAATTCTATGACACAGCAGTGCCTACCCACAGGACATAGTGAATATGTGTCACAGAATTAAAGGAAGTAAATATGTGGGGATCTTCACGAAGTTAATAAACTTTAAGATCATTTAGATTAAATAGGAGCAGGCTAGATTTTCTTTTAAATACAATATGGAAATGAACATATGATTTTACTTTTTTTTTTTCATTTCAATATTTTTTTCTTCAATTAGATCAATAAAACACAGTCACCAAAAAAAAAAAAAAAAGCACCTAGTCCGCCAATGCAGGGGCTATGACTGGCAACATAAAGATTAAGAACAAACAGTATGAACGAGGAGGACCATCCTCCACAAACAGATGCAGTACGCCAAAATGTAATATACATAGGTATGATTTTAGTTTTTGACCATGGATCCACTTTAACCACTTGCCTACCAGGCACTTATACCCCCTTCTTTACCAGGCCAATTTTCAGCTTTCAGCACTGTCGCATTTTTGATTGACAATTGCGCGATCATGCAAGATTGTACCCCTATCAAATTTTTATCAATTTTTTTTCTCACAAATAAAGCTTTCTTTTGGTGGTATTTAATCGCCACTGGGCACTTTACTTTGCGCTATAAACAAAAAAATTGCAAAAAAAAAAAAAAAAAAAAACTTAAAAAAATTTTCTTTGATTCTATTATAAAATTTTTCAAACAGGTAATTTTTCTCCTTCACTGATGTGCGTTGATGAGGCAGCACTGATGAGCACTAATAGGCAGCACTGATGGGCACTGATAGGCAGCACTGAAGGGCACTGATAGGCAGCACTAATGAGGTGGCACTGATAGGCAGCACTGATGATGGTACTGATAGACAGCACTGATAGGTGGCACTGACTGGCATCACTGCTGGGCACTGACAGGCATTGACTGGCGCAACTGCTGGGCACTGACTGGTGGCACTGACTGGCAGCACTGCATTGAGGGTGAAGTTGCACTTTAAATACAGTTTTGCCTATGGATCCAGACTTTTGGGACACCCTTTATATATAACAAAACTGCGCACATACAGTAAAATAGCCACAAATGTCAAAACATTAATATACACTTGACTGCTTAGAAGCATATGCCCATTTATGGTCAACTACTAAACCAATACCCTGCCCTAAAAAAGGCACAGAGGTTGGAAACAGGGCAAGGCCACAGCGTTCTTGAACTTTCCAAATGTAGCCATGCCAGTCACAGTTATACCACGAGCATCCATAAAACAGATTCACATCATAGAAGAAGCTGTCTTTACCATCAGTGCCAGACAGAAATTGAACAGAGAGCTGATTCACACACAGATTGAAGCTCAGGTTTCACAACTAACTGACAGTAGTTGTTCAGCAATTCATGTCAGGTTTACATCAGGTTCAGGACAGGATTAGGTCAGGATTTTATCCTGGTATTTCACGTTATGTGGATTGGATGCGGTTCAAACCCTATAACACTATAGTGCCAAAAGTATTGGGGACACCCCTCCAAATTACTGGATTCAGGTGTTCCAATCACCTCCATGGGCACCGATGTATAAAATCAAGAACCTAAGCATGCAGACTGCTTCTACACATATTTGTGAAAGAATGGGTCACTCTCAGGAGCTCAGTGAAGTCAAACGTGGCACCATGATAGGTTGCCACCTGTGCAACCATCCGTGATATTGCCTTGCAAATATTCCACAGTCAACTGTTAGTGGTATTGTAACAAAGTGGAAGCAACTGGGAACAACGATAGAGCAGGATCAACGCATGCTGAAGCGCACAGTGCGCAGAAGTCACTAACTGTCTGCAGAGTCAATAGCTAAAGACCTCCAAACTGCGTGTGGCCTTCAGATTAGCACAACAGTGCTTAGAGAGCTTCATGGAATGGGTTTCCATGGCCTTACATCACCAAGTGCAATGCAAAGCGTCAGATGCAGTGGTGTAAAGCACGCCGCCACTTGACTCTAGAGCAGTGGAGACTTGTTCTCTGGAGTGACGGATCACGCTTCTTTGTCTGGAAATCCGATGGACGTGTCTGGGTTTAGTGGTTGCCAAGAGAACGGTACTTGCCTGACTGCAATGTGCCAAGTGTAAAGTTTGGTGGAGGGGGATTATGGTGTGGGGTTGTTCTTGGCCCCTTAGTTCCAGTGAAGGGAACTCTTAAGGCGTTAGCATGCTAGGACATTTTGGACAATTTCATGCTCCCAACTTTGTAGGAACAGTTTGGGGATAGCCCCTTACTGTTCCAACATGACTGCGTAGCAAGGTCCATAAAAACATGGATGAGCAAGAGTTTGTGGTGTAGGAGCTTGACTGCCCTGTACAGAGTCCTGACCTCAACCCGATAGAACACCTTTGGGATGAATTCGAGGGGCGACTGCAAACCAGGCCTTCTCGTCCGACATCAGTGCCTGACCTCACAAATGCACTTCTGGAAGAATGGTCAAACATTCCCATAGACACACTCCTAAACCTTGTGGATAGCCTTCCCAGAAGAGTTGAAGCTGTTATAGCTGTAAAGGGTGGGCCAACTCAAAACTGAACCCTATGGACTAAGACTGGGATACCATTAAACTTAATGTGCGTGTACAGGCAGGCATCACAATACTTTTGGCAATATAGTGTACGTGAACTGGCACTGACCCCAGAATTTAACCTGAGGGCAGAGCCCACAAAGCAACATCACTTGCTGGCATAGTCAAAACTTTCACACGCAAATCAGTGGTACACTGAGGAACAAGCCACAACAGCCAACGCCTGCTTGATGCCAGATTGTTGGCCAAGATTTAAGATATCAAGGCAAATGTCATTTAAAAGAACCTAATCAGGCCTCAATAAAAAACTCTCATCACCCTCAAGATCCTTGTGGCGGAGAACAATGCCACCAATCCTGAAAACAACTTTTGAGACCTCGGCATTCATCTTGCATTGAGAACAATACAAACATGAATCAGGTATGTGATAAGCCCAGACCAGGGCCAAATTTTGGCCTAAGCAATATGTGGATTGGTAAAAGTGGCACAGCACTGAGCCACATCATGCTTAACAGGAGATTAAAGCTCCATGCACACTAGCATTTTTTTATAAGCTCATAAAACGCTAGGAAAAAAAAAGCCGGAGGAAAAAAAAAGCTAATAGAGTTTTTGTGCCGGTTTGTAGTTGTGTTTAGGAGCGTTCGTTTTTTTTTTCTGCCAGAAAAAATGCTTCAGCGTCTAAATGCTGAAGCTTGAAAAAAATGCTAGTAGCCTAAAATAGTTTGCATGGACACATATGATATAGGTTTTCTGCTCCTAGAAGCTTAATAGTGTTCATTTCTAGGAGCTTAAAAAAAAAAAAAAAAAACGCTAGTGTGCATGGAGCCCAAAGTCTACAGAATAAATCTCTATCTATATCACACACTTAATAGCCACAAATGTCTAACATTAACATACGCTTTCTGCATCACATCTGCCTTTCCAATTAAGTGGCACTTACACATCTGTCAGAATCATTCATTTAAAAAAAAAAAAAACACAACACCTTAGAAGAAGCAGACACAGTTAAAATGAACAACCCTCTGCAATACACAAAAATAGTTTGTTTGATTATGTGCTCCACTGCTCACCTAAACATACACAACAATAACAAGTACTTGAAATCTAGAATTGCCTTACAATCCTCCATAATATGTGCCAGCCCATGTGGTAGCACATGAAAGCAAGCCGTATCACACCTCATCACACCGGATGAAAAGAGCCAAGTGAAAGCAGTCACACCAATGACACTCCGAGGATTACTTTCTGAACCGATGAGCATGTCATACCTTGGATCATTGCCAAAAGGTGTTTATAAAGCAAAACTAGAATTACAGACTGATCATGTGCTTTTTTCATTGAACCTGTTGTTGAAGTCAGCATAGCAATTTATCCTAAATGTCTTCTAGCAGGTACCTATTAACCGTTTCAATAACGTGCAATTTTACACCTTCCTGCCCAGGGCGATTTTTCAGGTTTCAGCGCTCTCACACTTTGAATGACAATTGCGCGGTCATACAACATTGTACCCAAACTACAATTTTATCATTTTCTTCACACAACTAGAGCTTTCTTTTGGTGGTATTTAATCACCGCTGGGGTTTTTATTTTTTGCTAAATTAACAAAAAAAGACCAAAAATTTTGAAAAAAAAAACCACATTTTTCTTTGTTTCTGTTATAAAAGTTTACAAATAAATAATTGTTCTTCATAAATTTAGGCCGAGATGTATTCTGCTACATGTCTTTGGTGAAAATAACCCAAATTAGGATGTATTTTTTAGTTTGTAGGAAAGTTATAGAGTTCACAAACTATGGTATAGATCTGATTATTGATCAATCCTGAAGTACTGACGGCCAATCTAATTTCTTGAGGTCCAAGAATGTCAGAATAGTACAGATATCCCCAAATGACCCCTTTTTGCAGAGTAGACAGTCCGACGTACTTCATAAGAGGCATGGCGAGTTTTTTGAAGTTGTATTTTTTTGTCATAATTTTTCAGAAAATGAAAAAATTAAAAAAAATTATTTTCACTATTTTTTTTTTTTTATATATACTGTCACCAGTGCAGTACAGCGTCATCATATAACTGGCATGGCAGTGAACAGGGACACTGACTGGTGACAGTATGAAAAAAAAAAATATATTTTTTTTTATTTTTTTATTATATTTAATTTTTTATTACATTTTTTTTTATTTTTTTAAAGATTTTTTTTTCATATTTTACTATGACCAAAGTAGTACAATGTTACCATAGTAACATTGTACTACTTTGGGGAAGTGATCAGTATTTATTTATTTTTTTACACAATTTGCTTATAGCAAAGAATTACTTTGCTATAAGCAAGCATTTACCTGAATGAAATCGATTCATTCAGCTTTTTTTTTTTTTTTTTTTTTTGTGCTTAGCTGTGACCATTCACAGCTAGGCACTGGTATACAATGGATGGCATCATGAATGAAGCCATCCATTGTATACAACTGTCATGTGACCTGCTGTGATTGGTCACAGCAGGTCACATGGTACCAGCAACGGGAGCCGGTACTCGGATCTGTCATTGGCCGTGTCCAAGGTGCACGGCCGGTGACAGATCGCACTGCTGCGCCGCTCTGCATTAGCGCAAACGGCGCATGTGCGGGAGCACGCCAAATGGCGTGCACCCGGAATGCAGGGACACATTTGAAGCCGCCAAACGGCCATTGGCCGGGCGGCTAATGGTTAGGATAGTCAGTACCTTGGGTCTCTTTCACACTGTACATTTCTGCTGCAGTCATATGCATTCACACTTGAGCATTTTGTAGCTTGAAGCTCGAAGCTCCAAAAATGCTTAAACCTAAAAAAATCAATTGTTCGCTATGGTGCCTGTTCGTGCGATCAGGTGTGAAACAGGCACCATAGAGCGCAATTGATTTTTTTTTTTTTTTTTTTTTTTTTTTAAGTTTGAGCTTTTTTGGACCTTCAAGCTTTAAAATCACTTATAGCAGAGTTCCACTCATCCTGTCAAAAAATAAAAGTCAGCATCTACAAAAACTGTAGCTGCTGACTTTTAAAAAACAGCCACTTACCAGTCCCTTGGTCCCGTGGTGTATCCCCCCGCAGCCCGTTTCACCTGCCATCCTGGATTCCCGGAGGCCGGCATCTTCAGTGTGGGCACCCGGCTGTGACTGCTTGCGGCTCCACATCCAGGTACCCATTGCGCATGCGCGAGTAGTGCTGCGCTTCATGAATGGTCCTGTAGTCTTCTGGGACCTGTCATGTGTCACAGAAGACTACGGGGAGGGAAGGAGGGAGCACACGTTCCGTTTCCGATCGCCTAGGCGGTCTGACCGCAATTGGGAGTCAGTACCCGCCCCCCCACGCCCCTCAAAGGTGCCAATCCCTAATGGGGAGCGGGGGAGCAGTCCTTAAAGTGGAACTTCCCCTTTTGGGTGGAGCTCCGCTTTAAGTGTGAATGCAGCCTAAAATACAAAAGGAAAGATTGGAGTCTGTATAGTCAATGTCACTGGTACTGTATGAAAACAAAGATGTAATGGCTTTCGGGGCCCATTCACATGTTTTACCACACATTACTGCAACAACAATCAGTGGTGCCATTCTTTTTGAAAGCCACCCCAACACAGGAAGTGCAGCACATCACGCTAGTTACGTAGTATACTGCACTGCACAGATGAATGGGCTGCCTTAACGAATGGAAAAACCATGAAATAACGTACATTCATTAATGTAACACGTGAGGCTCCATGAATCTTTTCACAAGGATAAGTAGCTTTATTTTCAGCTATGTATATTTATCCTGGTGTTTTAACGATGTGAACTAAACCTATAATGCAAATGGGACTTAAAAGTAAACTTGTAAGGGGGAGAGAAAGGAGAAAGGAGAAAAGAGAACAGTGGGGGGGGGGAGGAGGAGGAAGGGAGGAAGAAGGAGGGGGAGGAAGAAGGAGGGGAGGGAAGAAGGAGGAGAAGGAGGAGGAGGAGGAAGGAGGAGGGAAGAGGAGGAAGAAGAGGAGAGGAAGGAGAGGAAGAAGAAGGAGAGGAAGAAGAAGAGAGAAGGAAGGAAGAAGAAGGAGAGGAAGAAGAAGGAAGAGAGAAGACAAGTAATCAAATGCCTTAATACAAAACAAAGCCTAAATATCTAAAGATACAATAAATATCTAAAATTTACAAAACGAACCACTGGTGCAGCACTATTAAAAAACAAAAAAAGTTTGAATATTTATCTAGTGAGTCTGCTTGGTTAAATACCCTTAAAAAGAAAATTGGAACTACCAAACTCACAAATCTTTTCTGGTAGCAAAAAATTTTTATTGAATAGATCAAACGGAGCATGGGACCATAAGCAATACATAAACAGTGCAAAGAAACAAACAAAAAAAAAAAAGTACAGATTCCTAATAAACGAGAATGACCCACGTAACAGAGCAGCTTAATATTTGGTCATCTAGAGTAATAACTTCGAAGACAAACTGAGCTCATGACCAGAAATATAGCAAAACCTGGTAGTCTACAGTAAGTATCCACTGTAGAGTGATAGAACCAGACCGTTGGGATGTCTCCCGTCAATATCCCATCACTGTCTCACCCCAGGGGGAGAAAAAAAAAAAATTAAAAGGGGGGGGGGTGAGGGTCAATTCTGTAATCTTTAGAAAAGAAAGGAATTAAGGAGGAGGGAGTGTGAAGTTTGACTATACTAAACATTGGCCCCAGAGGCTCTAGTTAAAAAAAAAAAAAAAAAAAATGGAAAAAAAGAAAAAAGAAAATAGTGAGGAGATGGGAAAGAGAGATCCCATCATCTCAGAAGGAAACACAAAAATGAAATGGAGAAGAAGGGGAGGAAAAGATAGAGGGATATAAAACGAGAAGGAGTAGTAGTTCCCCAACGAGGAACGCAAGAACACATCAAACTCATGCAGGGGAGTAGAGGAAGCATTAAAATACAGGTTAGAGATTGGTCAATCTCGTGGTGATGTGGGAGACGGGATGATAGTCCAACAAGGGTTGCCAGATAGAAAAAAAACTTGTCTTGGCTATCTTCCAACACTGCGGTTAGTTTTTCGTTGACAAAGAAGCCTTGGATTCTAGATTTGACTTCCTCAAATTGAAGAGTAGGGGATTTCCAACAATATGCTATAGTTTAGTTGCCATGAAAAAAAAAAAAAACTAATCAGAGTACAGATTTTACAAGGCACGTCCCAAACAGGTTTAAGAAGCAATGCGTCACTGAGGTTTTTCTTAAGGTTGATATGCGTGACAGAGCAAATAAGGTTATAAACTCTGGTCCATAGTCGATGAGCTACCATACGTGGAGCATTGTTCCATCAGTAATACAACCACGGAAAACAACGTGGGTCATATCCCGGTACATACTTTGCTATTTGGGCCAGGGTAAAGTACCATCTGGATAAAATTTTTTATGAATTTTATAACACTTGTATATTGAGGGAGCACCGAGAAACCGCCGCCTGCCATATGGGCATCCAGTCTTCAGTAGAATGTGTTTCCTGGCGCCATCTGCCTCACTGAATACAGTAAGTAGGGGCTCTGCTATGATTTCGGATTGAGAAGTAATGGGGTGATTGTAGTCGTATTTGTGCACTTGCGACAGAAACAATTAAATACTGTCCATGATACTTTTATTTGCACTAACATACAATTTTTAGGACACGCTTTCAGGGTATGTCCCCTTCTTCAAGGTCCAAGCAGTACTCATTTACAAAGTTTCAGCAGAATGTTAAAAGAAAATCTCTGGGGGGGGGGGGGGGACGGACTTGGGGATTTGGGATGACAGTCGCAGATGGGGTCGTAAAACTGTTGAAATAGTGAGAAAAACCCCATGTCTAAATTAAGGCGTTATCTTTTGAATCAAATCGAAATATCATTCTAAGTTCAAAAGTCTCCCTTTCCTGAATAGTTCTGAAATTCCCTTTAAGAACTAAGATATTGAGGTCTTCCACAGTGTGGTCCGGTTGTGAGAAATGGTGACCCCACAGGTGTGCAGAAGTCATCTTATATTCCTTGATGGTATGTCTGTGCACAATCATCCTTGTTCTCAACTTCTGTCCTGTTTCGCCAACGTAAGATCCTTTGCTACATTTTTTGCAATGGATAAGGTACACAACATTACTGGAGGTGCAGCTGTATGGTCCGGAGATATTGAAGGTCCCTTTTGGGTGTGTGACACTTTTTGATGGATTAATTTGGTTGCACAGTTTGCAGTGTTTTTTATTGCAGGGTTTGCGTACATTATTTGTGACATCATAATCAGAAGGAAGTTTCCTACTGATTAGTTTATGTCTGAGGTTGGGGGGTTGTCTGAAAGCTAGTATTGGGGGTTGCTGGAATATTTCTTTTAGCGTTCCATCCTCTGTTATGATGGGTTGTAAATCTTTTATTATTTTTCTTATTCCTTCTAGTGCTGGGTTGTATTTGGTTACTAGAGGTACACGGTTGTTTGTTTTCTCTTTGCATTGGAGTAGATTTTCTCTTCAGGTTTTCAAGGCTGTGTTTATACTGGTGTTGATAGTTTTGTCCTTGCAACCTTTCTTATGGAAGGAAACTGCTAGTGTCCCGAGATGTTTATCTCTGTCTTCCGGGTCTGAACATATTCAGAGGTATCTGATGGCCTGACTGTGTACGATGGATTAAAAGTGTTGATCAATGGGTAAATAACCCCCCCCAAGAAAAAAAAAATTGAGGGCCCCCCACTTATACGCACGTACAAACGTAAAAGCACACGCTGGGGCGCCTCCGTACACTATACTGATGACATATAAGGGGCTTTAAAATTGTCGCCTATAGAAAACACGGGGTTCTGAAGTTCGTCGCCATTTCACGAGCACACGCAAATATAAGGTTTGACATGTTGGCAACCTCATCTTTTATATTTTACAAAAAAAATAGGGTAATTGCTTTTTTGTGCCCTAAAATTAACTTACTTGTATTTTGTACTGAAATTTTGCGGTAATATCATGCAACATAAAAAATAAAAACTAACCAGTATTTTATTTTCTAGAGTCTCTGCTTTCAGAAAATATATAATGTTTGGGGGTTTTATGTAATTTTCAGGCCCAAAATTATTTTTTACACGTGTGCAATTTTTTGCACACGTGTAAAAATAATTTTGGGCC